ATGCATAGCAAGCATTGCAGTGAAGTGAGCAAAGGGAGAAAGCAATTAGTTTCCTTTAACTTAATTAGCATTCTGCAGGTACTGGGCTGGAAACACATAACTAAGGACAGCATTTTTAAACTGTTTCACTGATTGTCTTGAAACACTTCCAAAGCTTTTTCTTCTGCTCAGCAATAGCTTACATACAGGCTGGGACAGCAATGCCAGCTCTTTTCTTCCAGAGGGGGCATGGTGGCCAAAAAGACAGCAGGGTTACATCACATGTAGTTATATTTTCAATAGCACCACCAGTCCTTAACTTCCTTGCAAACAGTTCACAAGAGCTGCCAAAGACCTAATCCTATAGTACAAATGCATTGTACCAGCTTTCCTCGTTTTTTCCCTGGGCAGTGCTTTTTGTGCTATGACTAACAGATAGTTATTTGTGTCTTTTGACTTTGGGGCTAGCTAACAGACAAAAAAGTTTGTGTTTAGCTCACCTTATTTTATTATAACTTTGACCTCATTGTGCAGCTGGTACTAAAATAAAGGTCAGTATCTTACCAGCATTCCTGGATATCACATCTTTGTTACAAAACTATTTCAAGGTTTCTTTCAAAGGACTGTGATAGTAAGGTAGGATAAGTAAAACACACAAAACCCTACCCCTAGAAACTTCACTGCTTGTACACTTGGGGCATATCGCCACGAGTGATTTGCATTGCTACAAACCTGCCTGTGGGGCTGCAAACCAGAAGTGCCACACATGCATGCATTCGCTGTGCTGCTAATTTGCCACAGGTTTTTTTGACACCGGGAGATCTTGGTGTAAAAAAAAAGCGCAACAAAAAAACCAGCACAGCATATGTGACTGCAGCATGCACTGCCGGTAACTGGAGCCTGGCTGTCCAGAGTCATGCTCTGGTTGTCAGCCAGGCTCCACGTGCCTGGATTGTCACCACTGCAGCCCCAGGAGGCCCCTAGGGCCCCAGGCAAAGCTCTGAGGCCAGCCCAGGTGCTGGCCCCAGCCTCCCCTACCCCTCCCAGGACAATTTGCTCCATGCCAGAGCACGGGTGCAGGGGCATGCCCAGGGACATGCCCATACTGTTTTAATTCAGTTTTCGTGGCATTCATTTTCAAACAGGACATATCTCTTTCATCTTCAACAAAAGTTAGTTGACATCGCCTGCCATATAAAGCATTTCTTTCTGGTTTGTCTGTGCCAAATATCCATTACTTGCCTGTGCGAAGAAGAAATCTGGCAAGAGTAGGAGATCAATTGATCAAACAATCCAAAACATAAAACTTTCCATGTTTTTTAAAAAAATACATCCTTCTAGAAATAATCTTATGTATGAAGAAAACTTTCCAAACATGAATGATTACATCACTGTTTTCATGAACAAGCAGTGAGACAGCTCAACACTTGCTTCTATAAAGGCAGGGCTGTGTGGCACCTTATAGGCTAGGGACCGGCAAATCTCAGCGCACATGCTGGAGCATGGCATGTGAAGACATTTTGCTTGTCACTCCAGCACTCAGGGTGGATGGCAGGGGAGCCACAAGGGGCCCAATCCCTTTTCCGTCCCGTCTGTTGCCAGCAGTGAGTCAGGTGAGGGTTCCGCAGACACTGGTGCAGCTGCTTGCAGCCTCCACGCCACCTGCTGCAAGCAGCCCAGACTCTATGGCAGGCTCCAGGGGCCTGTCCAGAGCCCAAGTCAGCTGCAGTAGGCAGCCAGGGCAAGCGCTGCACCGGGGTCTGTGGAGCCTCAGCCCAGCTCGGTGTTGGTGATGGGTGCATTCGCATCTTGGGGCAGGTGGCAAGGAAGGAGCCAAGGCTGCACTGCCACGAGAAGGATCAGGCCTTTCGCAGCTCCCCTGCCATTTGCCCCTGGCACACCAACATCTTACAAGTAGACCTTGTGGGGGGGTTTGGCACTTTGACAAAACATGTTGCAAACCCATTACAGACTAAGTTGTTCAGAGAGGCATGAGCTTTTGTAGGCTACAGCCTACTTCATCAGTAGGCCATAGCCCAGGGGCGGGCAAAATGCAGCCTGCGGGCTGGATGTGGCCTGCCAGGCCATTCTATCCAGCCTGCGGGGGCCCTAAAAAACTTAGAAAATTCATATTTATTTGCCCCTGGCTGCCTGTCATGCAGCCCTCAATGGCTTGCCAAAACTCAGTAAGCAGTCCTCCACCTGAAATAACTGCCCGCCCCTGCCACAGCATATAGATTAGCTCATGCTTTTCTGAACAAGTTAGTCTACAAGAGGATGGGCAAAGTGGAAGATCTGGCCAGCAGCTAGACTCCATTTCCCAGCAGCCTCTGCCCACATCACTCGGGTCAGTTACCCTGGAGACCTGGAGAGTGGCAGGACCGTGACAGCGTGGGGCCAGGGTTTCCACAAGAGACTGGCCCCAGCAGTGCTGGCAGAGCACCGGGCTGGCTGGGAAGCTGCTCCAGGGCTGGGGTCTTGCAGTGCTGACAGTGTGGTCCAGAGCCAAGGCAGAGCCGTGATCCCCTGCCTGCATGCCTCTGCCCAGGGCATGAATTTCTGATTCATTTAGTCTGTAAGGTGCATCTCTACCCTGCTTTCTACCCAGATCTCGTCACTTCTACCTGTCCTGCCTGGGAAAACTCCCAAGAGGAAAGGACAGCCAGCTGATCTAATTCAGTGAGAATAAAACTTTTCACTAAATGTTGCTACCAAGGGCTCCTTCTTTTTATATATTAGCCTCTGGTTTGCCACAGGTATCTAGTGCACTGATCAAGTCCTGCATTCTTCGATTCACAAATTACATGCTGTGATGCATTTGGCTGGGAACAACCACTCAGGCTCCTTTTTAGACTCTTTCCTCTGTATCTTTCATCCCCTCTGAACTCTGCCTTGCCCTGCAAACTCCTTCTCTCAGCTCACCCTTAAAGTTATCCCAACAGATGTTCTGCATCCATAGAGCTTCTGCAAGCTTTAGCATCTCTCCTTTGGATAAACCGTCTTGCTGGCAGTCTGTTAACGATCCTTGCTGTGGCCCTTTCTCCTCCTGACCATTACCATTTAACCAGACTCTGTCTAAACGTTTCAGTCTATGCAAGTAAAAGTGGTGGTTTAAAGGAAATATGTAGCACACCTGGACTCTCTTGGATGTAGCACACCCAAACCTCTCTAATAGAGACAGCCACTCTCATCAAGTAGGGAACTTACTGGCAAATGTACCTTGAAAAAAGTAAGAATAAGCTATACTAGTGGTTCTCAAACTCTTTAGGCTTAAGGCACTCCTCATTAGCTCAAGATCTTCTTGGAAAATGCCAGCTCTTAGTTTTGTTTGCTTGGAGAAAATGAAGAGTGCAATTCTTCTGTTGCAAAGGACTCAGAAAGACCACAGCAGGACAGAAGGGGTATAATGCTGTGCATCCCTCTTTGAAATCTTTAGGTTCACTTTGCAAATTGTGTTTGCACCCCTCACAGTGCTCCTGTTGTGGCACTCTTGAAAGCCTCTCAAGGCACCCTGCGGTGCTGCAGCTGCCTGGCTGAGAATCATGGAGCTTTACACACATTATCCACGGCTGAGACCTGAACTGCTGCAGAAAAAGCCCTGGTTGAGCCATAACCTGCTCAGTAACTTCCCAAAGGCCTGTAATGGGCTACGCTTTGGCTCTTGGGAGGGACATGAAGCAACCCATAGGCCAGTGCCAGATTATGACACGCTGAGGCCCTAAACATTTTAAGAAGCCCTATGTGATAAAAATAATCCAATGTATGTATATTTTTGTGATATTAGAACTAAAATGTCCATACAGGCAACCCCCACTTAATTGGCATTAAGCAAAAGCAAAAAGTATTTAATGATCCAAGATGATGACTGCAAGTGTTTTCAATGACCCAAGACGCCGACTGCAAGCGTAATATCGAAACTCGCTAAGCACTAAGTGAAATCAGATATCCATTTAAAACAAGCGTTACAGCACTAAGCCAAACAGTGCTAAGCGGGGGTTGTCTGTATTAAGAGTCATTTCCCCATATCTCCTTTATCTACCAGCTGATTACAGGCAGTCCTTGGACACAATTGGTTCCTGAAAACCCCATCTCAAGTTGAAACATTGTAACTTGGAACCGATTTTCCCCATACGAAACAATGTTATAAATGTAGGATTGGTTCCTGAACCAGGGCCCGATACACTATTTTCACCAAAAATAATCTAGAATTTTGTACTCAATGAATTACAGATGAGTAATAGCCATATTAATGTATTTATATTGTAAATAGCAATCGCATTGATTTGGAAGGACTTCTTTGAGGTGACTTTGCTGGACTTCTTGAAAGGCTCTTGGTTGGACTTTTTGAAGGGTTCTTGGCTGGAGTCTTCTCAGGAGTCTTGTCTGCTTTCTTAAAGAAAGTGGCCAAGGAAATTTGGACAGGTGTTCTCCAGGGAGATGGGCAATGCAGAAAACTTGTTCACTGACATGGCATTGAGTTGGATCAAGCGTTGTAAAGTCAAAACTGACATCAGAAAGTTGAAACAGGGTGTCAGTTTATAAGCGTTGTAAATGGGAAACCTTGTAATTCAAAACATTTAAGTCGAGGACTGCCTGTATCATAAAACCTGATATTAAGGTGGAGGTTTTTTCTTATTTAGATGCCCCCTCATATTGTGAGGCCCTGAGCTGTTGCTTTCGTAGCTTAAGCCTAAACCCAGCACAATGTCCGGTGCTGCTGCTGGATGCGCCTCAGGTGCAAGGGCTGCCCCAGGCTGCCAGGAGAGGGGTGAAGCTTCTTGCTCCCCAGAGTCAGCCCTCAGCCTGCCACAGGCACCCCTACCCTGGGGGGCTGTGGGGAAGGGGGAGGGGCTCTCTCCAGCCAGTGCTGCAAGGATGAAATCGCCTAACCTCCACCTTCCTGTCCCTCCACTGAGAGAAACTAAGACAGAGTTCCCCCTGCATCGCATGCGCCGCACCACCCCACTGCGCATGCGCGGCACCGTCTCCCTCCTCCTCCTCCGCCCCTCTCTTTCCCCAGCCGCGCCTGCGCACTGGGGGCTCGGCGGGGTGGGGGGCATGAGCGTGTTGCTCCCCAACATGGCGGACTTCGACACGATCTACGAGCTGGAGGAGGAGGAGGAGCCCGAGCCCGAGCCCGTGGTGAGGAGCCAGGAGCTGCCGCGGCCCCGCGACGCGCCGGATCCCGTGGCGGTGCGGGGCGCCGGGCACATCACTGTGTAAGGAGTGCGGGGCGCCGGCGCGGGGCGGGCGGGACAGCCGAGCCGCCCTTTGCCTCCGCGGCGCTGCTGGGGCCGCCCCGGGAGGCGGTGGCTGTGGGGGAAGGCAGCGGGAGCCCGAGCAGTGCTGGACCCCTCCCCGCCGGTGCCAGGTCGCCCCCTGAGGGCCTGTCCGTCCCTGTGCTTCTCCTCCCCGTGCCTTTCCAAACGAGAGAGAAATCCCACCCCCATGGGACGTAGCTTAAAAAAGGGATGCAGCAGACATCTCCTCAAGGTGGGAACGGGCTCTGCCCACATCTTGGGAGCTCTCCTGAAGCAGTGCCAGCCTTTCCGGGATCCACCTCTGATGTCTGGGCGATAAGAAATCTGCCCCCCCCCCCGCATAGTGCTATTGGGGGTAATTCTTGACAAGTATTTGTCTTGCCAGTCCATCTCCTCGAGTTGTGTATGTAACCTGCGTGCGTGCGTTTATCACGATGGTGTGGGAAAGGGGATTGGTGGTAGGAGAATAGCCTTGACTTCGTCGTCTAGTCACGTGAGGTGCGGCAGGAGCCACTGATTTTTAGCCGGTGTTCTCGCATCTTGACACACCTCCTCAAACTAACGCAAAGAGCTAAGGAATAATACTGTAAGAGCAGGCCATTGAATGAGAAGACTGAGTTGATAATTCTGACGCCCTAGTAAATGAGGACTTACTCTGCTTTTTACATCGACGTATCAGTTCTGGATTTCTGTCCCTTTCAGATCAGATGGCCGCTTGTTTTGAAAGCTGTTCCTTTTGAAAATGACCTGCTCAGGTTGCCAAGAGGGCACATGTCACCCTGGGACTTGTTTGTT